TATTTTAGATAAAAATAACGAAAATGTTAAATTAGATATATAATATATAAATATCATATATAATATTTCATATTAAGTTATCTATTATTATACATATAGAAATATGTGTTTATTGGTCTGTGAAATATGTTTAATATATAGAAACTAAAAAATACAGATAAAGAGAATAAAGTAAACATATTTTTATTCATAAAGGGATACGTGAAAATGTATTAATATGTAAATTTCCATTTTGTTTTTCTTGGACATACCACTAGGGAGAAGTAAAACTAAACATGTTATACGGTCTTTTTTTATTATTATTATTTCGTCAAAATTTCCTAGTTAATCCCACGAGTGGATCCCAGAAAAGTTGTTTGTAGAGTGTACCTATACATATATTTTTCACCAAGGTAGAAGAAAAAAAATTTAAATGTAATGAAAACTAAACAACGATTTTTATTTTTTTAATAAAAAACTTAAAATTTTCACATGGTGTTTCAAATATTGTTATGAATTTATTTTAGTACCTTAATACCTAATACATTTCTTGGGTATATCTACGAGACTACGAAATAATAATTTAATATATAATAGTATTAATGTGTAATATATCATATTGAAAAATCAACAATATGGCAACTACCTATTTAATTTCAATATTAGATAGATTTACAAGTAGTAGAACATGACAAATTAATTTCATTAAAACTTTTATTTTCTCAGTACTCAACTGACATCTTTATCACATAGTTTTCTCTTATAGGAGTTATACGGTACAGCAAATGTAAAATTATTATTTCAGCTAGGTACTTGACTCATCGAACTCTAAGAACAAAATTAAAAAATTTTGGCCAAACATAATATAGCACACATTAGTATACTGGGGCATTTCTAAAAAAAACTGGTAAAAATGATGAACATATATATTTCACATTTTCACATGTACAAAATATTAAAAATATTTATATAATATGTATGGTGTTAAAAATAAAGGAAAATAGATAAGAATTTATTGTAAGGGAGTAAAATATAATATGTTGTTTTCGATTTAAACTAATATTTAGTTTTTTTTTTTTATTATAAATTGATTAAAATTAAAATTTAATTATATTATTAATGGATGTGCAATTTTAATTTAAGATCACGTGTCTCTTTATTTTTGTAATTTTTTATAACATAATAGTGCTTTGGGGTGCTAATTTTAATATAGGTTTTATGATTCAATTTTTTGAATTAAACATTTTTAATATCGTAAATTTGTTTATAATTTTTTATTTTAGTCAAACCTTAGATTGACTTTATTTTCAGCATACAATATATATAAAATATGTACATAATTTTGTTTAAAATGTCTTTTTAGTAAATTAAAAAGTGGTTTTAGGATTATGTTATGGATAAAAAAAATTAAATTATGGTGTTACTAAATACTATTATCTGCTAAAAAAAAAGTTTTTTTTAAATTTACTTTTTAAAAATTTTAAAACCGAATAAAAAGAATTGAATGAGTTTTTACCTTGTGTAATATATTATTATGTCAAACTATTTTTTATTGTAAAAATATTAACCATATATGCATTACCATGCTGGTAAAAAGTAATATATTACGATTACTGTATTATTGCCTGTTTTATAGACTATAGTCAGGTACAAAAGTTAATGTATTATAAAGGTATATACGCTTATTATATATAAGAAATTTTCTGATCATTTTTTTCTATGGAAAAATATATTTATAAATTAAATTAATAATAGAAGAACAATTTTTATAATAGGAATTAAATCATTTAAAATATTTGATTTTATTCATTAATATTATCCTAGACATTTAGGAAGGAGGTTAGTAGTTTTCTATCAACTCATTAATCTAGGAAAAACTTTAGAATACAAACCTAACTATAATACATATGTTGTGTATTTATATTATTATGAATAGTATTTAATTGATTGATATTTTAATAATTATTGTGTTATTGTTACTATTATTTTTAGTTTTGATATCTAAATTTTACTAAATCCTAATAATTGTTTTAATATTTTTCTGTATCGGTGTATTATGGATTATACATGTATACACATGGTATAACAATGTTAAAAAATATTAATGAATCACACGAACGATATGAATAACATAGCTCAGAGAATAATATATAATAGAATACACCTGTTGGTTTTGCGTACGCATGGTGGGGTAGTCAAAGCATTGCAGGGACTTATATTCGTTATGACGGCCGTCCCCTTGAGCTCACCTCCATGACGGCGTGGCGTTAGATTGATGAAGAAACGTATTATTATACAACTCAGTGAAGATTTCCTATTTATAAAATGCTGTGGTCTGTGATTTAGTTAGTTTATTGTACGCTCTTCGTTATTATGATAATAATATAAATATATACTTAAAATAAAATACATAATATTATTATTATTTTTGAAAATAATATGAAATGATGGAGGTTTTCATTTTTTATCGTAAAATAACAATGAAAAAAAAAATTTCTTGTCAATGTTCGCGTATTATTAAAAACTTTTAAAATTTTACAAATTCAATGATATTATGCTTCTTGTTGTTATTTTTGTTCTAATGTATTTTATGTGTTTTAAACCGAAATAACACGTATAGTAATACATCTGGTATTTAATACCAGTATTTTTTATGTTAAGTTAACAGTAAGATGTTTTTAGAAAATAATAATGCTTGATAAATCAATTGTATAGTACATTTTATAGACGATTTTAATATATTAAATGTTTTGTAAATGTGAAGTAGACACCTATGAATAAAACTTCTATCTAATCATAATAAAGATGTCATCCATGAGAAAAAAAATTATTGCCAGATCTACAATATAATTTATTTTATTTTGTAACATATACAAAGTTTTAATTCAAAATACTAATAATTTATTAATAATGATCAAGCATTGAACAATTGACATTCAAAGATTAAAATACAATGGTTTTAATTAAATACACGATTTTATTAAGATGAGTTCCATTCTATGTTATAGTATGAAAAATAATTAGTATATTAATAACATCTATCATTCAAATTATTTATTAAGAAAAGTGCAATTTTGGTTTTTGGTTAATGGTGATTATATTTATGATAAATATCAGGTTGTAGTATTGTGTCAAACACAAGACTGGACGTATTATATTTTTATGTTTAACAAAACAGAAATGATTTTTATATAAATTTATTAAAACCTTTTTGGGGACAATGTTAAAATGTTACACCCCCACTAAAAGATAATCACGGCAATGTGTATTTTATAAGGTCTACTGAAACCATCAATGTTAAACGTTAATTAAAAAGTTTTATATGATTTTACAACATAGATAATATAGTATATTATTATGCTATAAATAATATATTACGTATGTTGTATAGTGTATGATCTTCGATCACATGAATAATTCATTATATTTAACTTTAAAGTTATATAATACGCAATGTATCAAAATTTAACCTAAATATAATAGTTAGAAAAAAAAAACAATTAATTATAAAATAAAATAAACTGAATGTTTTTATAAAGAAGTGGTAAATTGTTTAAAAAAAAAAAAAAACCGTAACAAACGAAATATTATCTACGAAATATTCTTGTTAGTAATTTTAAAATTAATTATTATTTATAAACTACAAAAACGTAATTTAGTTTAATAATTATTATTTGAATAGAATACATAAATTAAATGTACATCAATGAAAATATTTTGCTAAGAAAAAAAGAGAAATGTAATTTTATTCATTATCATGATATTATTTTATTAGTACTTTAATGCACAGGTAGTATTTTGCTGTAAAACTTGTCAGTTTTGACATAGGTACTTGAAGTTTTTATAAGGGGAATTGTTTAAACAGTCTTTTATATTTGTCAAACTAATATAAATAAATTATTATAACTTTAAAACATGGTCACCATTTAAATATAAGCATAGGTACATACATTTTTTTTTATAGGTACAACTTAATTTTCTATTTAAAAACTTTACATTTTGTAAGATTTTTTTTTTTTTTTACATCTAATTATTAATTGTTATTAGTTAAAATTAAAAACAGTATTCAATAAATTATTTTTTTTAATAATATCATGTTTATCATGCGTATAACTTAATGTTTTTCTAATTAACATAGTAGGCAGGTATTAAAAACTACATAAACTTTCTTGGTAAATAAATCGTTTAAATTTATTACGGGCTATCAAAATATATTCTTTAAAATTAAATATTACCTACGTAAGATTTTGTAGTATTATTGTTTATCTATAAAACAAAATAAGTAAGATATTTTTAAGTATGGATAATACTATGAATGATTTTAAGATAAAATAAAATATGAATTTATGATGTAAATTTTGACATTTGAAACAATCAAAACTTTACACAATAATAATAATATGGTCATTAAATGTTTTATTATTAATTGTATTCCAAGTACGTAATTCGTAACATAATTTTTAAAAGGTACCTAATTCCATAAATTAATTTTAATTACATGACTAATCCAAATTATACTATTTCGTCATGGTTAAATAATTGGTAGTAACATGAAGAATAAAAATTACGTTATAGATTATATTTTTTTTATTAGGAACAAAATTTTATTCAGAATTGTATTATTTTAATAGAATAAATGTTATAAAATAATTTATTACGAATTAAGAGTATTAAATTACTTATCATTTCTAAATAAGAAGGAGTACTGTTTTTACTGTTTACTGTTATCTAGTTCGTGTTTAAGTGTTATTGCTAGATGACTTCTCTTCTCACGTCTCTATGTTCTTATAGTTATATATTGTATTATATTATTAGTATATTTTATTATTATTTTTCTTTTTTCACACATATTATGCTCATTGTAAATACCTTTACAGATTGTATATAATCAAATAAATATAATATATTTTCTGAGTATTTTTTATTCCTATTATTGATGTGTGAAACTTAAGATATAGGAGAGCCTTGTCAACTAAATAAAACTAATTTTTTATGTGTTTGTAATAATCATTTGCGCTTACCTTAATATTTGCTTGACTGTCATTGGCTTGTGTGGTGTATGAGGTAATAGGATTTTTTGTGCTCCCTAAAAATAAATATAAAAATAAATTAACACAACTTGTTGTTTTAATATTGATAATAATACGTCATATATAATTAAAATCACGTGATAATATTATTGTAAGATTCATGTGCTTTAAGCTTTTGTAATGTATCAAAAATTATTCATTATTATTTTTTTGCAACATTGAATTATAAGTACTTTTAATTAATAAATATTGTTTTCGAAAGTATATACATATTATCATATTGTTATCAAACTATTATAGTTTTATTGTTCACCATTATAAAAATAAAATTATTGTTTGTACGTATTTTTAAGCTATACGATAATAATATACTCGTTAAAAAAATAGTATTGAAATTTAAATTTATTTTCAAATACGTAGGCATTTCAATTTTAATCAAAATTGTGATAATTTTTTCAAGTTAAATCTTAATATTAATCCTTAATTGTTTTTTAAAAAGCATAATAATATTAGGTGAACCAGTTTAAGGTTAATAATATTTGTATCATAGGCACCATCAACAAGTATTAAATACATAGTAAAATTTTTGAATAATAACCATATAATTAAGTACTTAAAAAAATTCTTTATCTAATACTACGTTATTTAAAACATAATATAACATATTAAAAATAACATTAAGGTGAAAATAGTAGTAATTTTAATACTTATGATACTTGCATTTTTTTTTTATTATTTAAACAATAATAGAACAGTTGGTATGAAAAAACTATTAGAAATTTGTATGATTCAGTTTAAAAGTCAAAATTCATTTTGGTTTTAACATTTAAAAAAAAAATTAAGTTTTTATCTTTAAACTAATTATTAACACTTTTATAAATTATAACTGATAAATACTGTATATAATCGTTTTTGCTCTTAATAAATCATCTGAGATAGTTTTCGAAAATATGTTTTATTATTGAACTTGAAATCAAATACTAAAATTATATTTATCTTAAAATATTATGTATAATATGTATTATATATTTTAAATAAATCAAAGATATAAAAACTTAATAACATCGTTTAATTTATTGTATTAACAAAATTGAAATTAATGCATAAAACAACCATTTCTTTTTCATTATTATTAAAGTAGGTTTTTATTTTAAAATGAGTTAAGTTTTTTCAAATTTATTGTTTGTTGAAAATGAGTTTAAAGATCGTGTTTAAATTTTGATTGGGACTCACGTTTTTTAATCAATATTTTTGAGTAACAATCATTCTTTTAAAATAAATAAATTTAAATTTATAATCCAACAGTAAGTTTATTCTAGTGCATTACTGACAGCCATTTCGGTTTTTTTTTACTTTATTTAAACGTATCTTAAAAAGAAAAATAAAACAGAACAGCTTATGTACATGCTTTTGAGTGGCATCTTTAACCCAAGTCATCATTATATTGGAAATCTGGTTTAATCATAAAAACCTATCAGCAGACAATCGGAAAATGTGATATTTCAAATAAATATACTAAAGCGTTTTACAAATATTACATCAAAATATCATATTTTTAAAATATGACCTATAAGATATTTTCTTGTAAAAATTTTGAAAACTCGTATAAACATAGTATAAATAGCAAGTTTAAATTCTCAAAATGAAGCCAAGAGTATAATAAAAATGTATCTGCAGATTCAGATAGATATACGTTTTATAGGTCTTAAGTATAAACCTATAAAATGGATACTTTACGGTTTAACTGTTCAGTCATCATCAAGAATTATATGATTCATAAAGGTTAAGTACAGTAGTTAAAAGTGTTTTTAATATAAAATTTAAATAAATATGTATATATTTATATATAATAATAATAAATTAAAAATTAAAAATTAATATTTAATGTGTTAAAATATTTAGTTTGTATATCATGTAGTATATTTTAACAAATTAATAAGGATAAATAATTTTAGTGAACCTATCTACAAAATGTCTTCATATTAGATTAACACGTGTTTTTAATTTTGTACTAGCATTTAATGAGTACGAGTATAAAGTTATTTTTGTATTGTGTTATATAATAATGTACAATTTAAATAAACTAACTATACTATTTTTTAGAATTCAAGTATATTTTGAAAACATATTTTCAACTTTTTAGATTGTTTTAGATTCTAATCTTCTAATCAAAGCAATGGAAATATTAAACTTCACAATACAACTAAGTTTTTTTTCTATCTGTCATCACTTTTTGGAGTAGAAAAAAATGCTTTGATTATAGATTCAATGACGAAAAACAATGTTAATTATTTTGTTATAATCAAAAACATTATTTTTGAGGTCTTAAAACATTTGCATGTTTTATTAACTTGATTATACACAATGAAATTTAAAAAAAAAATGTAGATAAATTTTAAAATAATATAATCTATACTATTAAAATTTTCACACTGTCTTAGGACAAGATGGTATTAGCTAATTAACTTAATAATATAAAATGGTAAATATTACTATTATTTTACTAACAAGTTTTTTTTTTTTTATTATTATTGATCGAAATATATATATTTATATAATATATATATAATAATTTAAAAACAATATATATATATATCTAAAATTTAATTGATTATCCATATTTTTTAAGCAAGGCTTGTGTTGGAGTTTGAGATTAATCATATTAATAAAATTAGTTAGAAATTAATTTAATTATAAGTATACTTAAGAATAGTAATAATATTTAATATATTAGTACATATTATTTTAAAATTGTATTTAATATAGGTACAGTATTTTTGAAACATTAAGTCAACTTTCCGTAAGGTTAATAGTAATTTGAAATTTATCGTAATTTAAAAAATTATATTATGAAATATACTTAGTGATATAGGTTGACAGACTATTACTGCTCAGGATTGTTTTTAGTATTATGGTGTATTATTAAATTCAAATTTAACAAATCTATTACAGTGATCCACTCGATACTTAATGCATAGCAGAATGTTAAGAGTGGTACCCACTTAGCTAACATTTTTTTAGTTAAAATTCATTAATAAATACATAATATATTGCATTTTAATTTACTTTTTATTATTTTTAATTTTTTTTTTTATTTGTTTGGCTACACTGATAAAAATCTAACAATGTTGAATACTTTAATAAATTATACTATATCATTTAAAAGACAACAGAGTTATAATTAATTGCAATATTCTATTATTTTTTTTTTTTAATTATATTAATTTTCTTTTTATACTAAGTATTTTTTATAAATTATAAGACCTTAGATAGGTAGTTAAAATATATATGAACACGAATCTGATTATTATGCGGAATTTGAATTATGCAGAACATATAAATGTTTTTTACATTTTCTAACCAATAGTAAATTATATATTCAGATAAATTATTATATTTTATAATTTGTGTTTTAAATCTACAGTTTTAAAACTTAAAATAAATTATTAAAAATGAAATTTATTATTTATATATTTTTGAATGCTTTTATTATAATTAATATCAAACATTATTTAGTGTATCTATATGGCTACATTTATGATTGATATTACTTAATTTAGCTATGTTATTCGTTTAACTATAATATTATTAATGGTTTATTGATATATAATTTTATAATCAATAAATATATGTCATTTAAAAAAGCATATTCTATACATTAAATACAATTTTAAAAATATGTTCATGAAACTGCTAGTACGCAAAAAAACAAAAATTGATACATTTTTTAATAACTGTATGTTTCACGAAATTTTGTAACATTTTCTAATAATATTATTATAAAAAGTAAAAAAAAAAAAAAAGAGGGAAATAGATTAGATAACTACTTTACTGTACACTAGGTGTCAACTGCAAGTGTATCATGTCATTGAGAAATTCACTGTGATCTATGCGTTAAATTTGAATTCAATTATAAGTCATTGCATATAAAACATGATTCCAAGTGAAGATGGTCTGTCATTCTATACTACTAAGTATATTTTATGATATATTTATATTACTATTAAAGTGATTTATATCACTATTAATAATACTGTAGATAGTATTAATTTTTGCCTAAAATATTGAGTTTGTAAATATCATTGTGATATAAAATATAATCTCGTAATATAATACTTTTAAAAATTCGAGTATCATGAATAATATTTTTAAATTATAACAAAATAACTAAAATTGTAATTTTTGTCTAAATATACGAATTTATCTAAATTTTAACTTAAAATGTCTAAAAATCTATTTTAAGGTTAGATATTTTCAAGATTAATAGGTTAAAATATAAAGTATTTTAAGGATCTTATATTGAGTATTTATATGTTATGTATGTATATTGTATACATATATTATATACCTTAAATATTTTTTTCAATATTTTAACTTTACCCTTTTATAAAAATATATGCTTGTTTGATATTTTTAAATTGGTATATGGTCGTTATACGACGAACGTTTTGTTATTTGTCAAGGTTTTTGCTGGAAAAAATATTTTTTAAATATAGTTCAAAAATAGTTAAAATATTTTGAATTTTTTTTTTTTATAGATTTCAGGCTTCAATACCAATGGTCATTAGTCTGAAGCTGATTTTTACTACTTTACGGCCGATGCTTGATCTCAGAACACGTTAGCGACTGAGGCCAACTACCGTGCTAAACCAAACCACTTTTAAACATTTTATTATGTATATAGAATATAATATAATAATATTCCAGTTATTTTGAAAAATTTTAAGATTTTTTTACTTTTAGCGCCCCCAAAGTACCTACTAGATCTAATTTATTAAAATAACTACTTTTATAACTTCATTCGAGATCTAAATAAAATATTTTGGAAATAATGAATATACTTTCACAATATTTTCAAAAATGTTAATAATAGTTATTATAATAATTTACGGTAATATTGTAATTTATAAGTTATAGTTTTCATTAAACTTTTTCCAAACCATGCTGCTGGTGTTTTACCACAAAAATATTTTTCAAACATAATTATTTAAATAATGATAATATTAAATCCAAAATAATTACCGTTTTGCGCCATAAGATTGCTCTATACTGAGGCACGCACTGATGATTAGCATCCGTTAGTACAACGGATAAAAAAAATGGAAACTTATCCACATCCGATCCTACATAATTCTGGTGCACTAGACAAATTACAATTAAACATATTTTTAAGAATATAAATACATAAATAATTTAAAAAAAAATAAATAAATGTAAGGCTATTAAAATTTTCAATACAAAGTAAGTATAAAAAAAGCAATTAGTATGTTAAAAATATAGTATAATTTAAAAAATATACATACATTTTCCCAAAAAATATTTAAAGTACCACCGTGTCTGAAATTCTGGATTTTCTAGAACTGGAGTACAAGGAGATCCAAATATCTGAAAAACGTATTAAAATATAATTTTTTATTGTTAAATAAATATTATTTAAAAACAGTGAACTTAAAGAATAGATTTAAAATTTCATTTTTTATTATTAATGTATTCATATTACTTTAATAAAATAAATATTAATGACAGAATTTTTTTATAGCAATAAAATAATAAATAGAAAAAACTTTTATTTTAAATTTATGTTTTCGAAGAACGCTTTATTATAATGTTATAATATGCATATACATAAATTTATATAGGTACTATATTTTGTATTACCATTAAATAATTGTAAACAACAAAATTTTAAATTATTATTAAAAATAATACAGCATCATTTTAATTTTAATATGACTTCAATCGTATTGTATTTTTATTTGTAAGATTTGCATCGAATAAAATGGAATAAGACTCGTTTTAACATACTCACAGAGTATAATAATTGAACTATCAGATTTTTGGATGTGTTAAATATATAGTATTGGTATATTATAAGACAATCACAAAATAACAGTTAATATTTTAGAATTAAATTACATAATAATATTACAATATTGATTATTATATTATTATATGTTTGAACAATAATAGTTAAGTTAATGGTAAAAAAAAAAATCTATTTTTTAGAGATATTGAAGTAGTAAAACGATGAATTAAAATCGTTCATAAAATACTCTATATATGTCCTTATTGTGTAATTTAGTTACGATTCTCGGTAGGAATAAATACGTATATATTTTTGAACTTCAATAAAGTTTTTTTATAATGAACTTTTTTCGACTCTTCAAAATCAATTTAATTGAAAAAATATTTGTAATTCTATCTCTCTTACTCTCTTCTTTTTTAGCCTATAATTGTTTACACATTTCGTGGAGAAAGCCAAAAGGTGTATGTGTATTTAATCAAGTTGTTTTTTCTTTTTTTTAATCTAATAAAGTTTTCAGAATATATTTCAAAAATAAATATTTGAAATTATCAATTTACATTAGAGGTAGAACATGACTCAAATGATTGAAGAAAAAAAACACGTAAGTAGATGAATTCTTAAGATAACACAAGAAAAAGTTAATATTATTGATAGTAAAGTTACTATATTTTTGCTATAGCATAGTATTTAACATTATTAACTTAATCATATTAACTTAATATCATGCCTTACAGGCATTAATAAAATAAATATCATTAAATGAAGTGTACAAGTTTGAGTAAGTACTAAAACTTAAACATGTTCATTGATTATAATAAATTATAAAATATTTTCCTTGTACAAATATTTATTTCAAGTAAATTTTAACTTTCCTATTTATTTATTCAAGTAAAAATATTTGAAGGACATTTAATAATAATGTTTACTTTTACATTATAATATGAATTTAATTGATAGGTTTTAACTAATATTCAGCCTTTGAATTTGTTAAAATTATTAGAGTGTACGTAGTTAGAAAAAAATAATAGGACAGATACCGAATACTATATGTTCTTTGTAGTAAATATCTACTATAACAATGTTAAAATTGAATAATGTGAACATCAAATACATTTAAATTAATTTATCTATTTTTCATTTATTTACGATATTTTTTTTAGAAACAAAATTATTTTAGTTGAAGTATTGTTATATATTTTTTTTTTTCACAAACAATACATACATTTTTTTCTTTGCATCCAGGGATTATGTTTAATGCAGTTTAAGTCTGTATAGCAAACATAAAACACTCATTGGTATAATTAAATTTAAATAATTATAAATAGCGTACCTAATATTAGTATATTCTAGTAATTATTATTTATTTTATTCAATTAGTATTTCAGATTTATTGAATTAGTATGAAAATCAAAATATTGTATTATAACTTATAAGGTCTGTGTGTACTATGTGTAACATTAACATTTTTTTATTCAATTGTATTACCACTCTGCTTGAGTCTTTATTATATTTAATGTATAAAGTTTATTTATTATATATTCTTTACATAATATAACACATTAATTTTAGAGTGAGACGTACATCATTGATTAATTGTAAAATTTCCAGTAAATTTTATTTAAAAGGAAGATTTACTATCCATTTGTTATTTGACGTTTTCGGGAGGTAAGATATTCATAGTTGTTAAAATGAGAATGATTAATAAAACACTATTTACGTAACTAGATCAGGAAAAAAGAAAAAAAATATGCATTTGGTAAGATATCAAAAAAAAATTACAATTGATTTATACATAGGTACGCTATAGTATTAAAGTTCAGGTATATTATTATTCATTACATTTTCAGAACATCATATTATATGAATTGGTATTATGCGTTTCAATGGTTGATCGTAGCCGAAGACGGTATTGATTATCTTAGTGTATGGTTATACGAATTTATTATCATAACAGTTATTACTTGTTTATAAATATATTAAATTAAAAAAAAAAAAAAAAAAATGTTAAACACAAAAAATATGTAACTATCAACACATTGCGTGATATGAGTTTTTTTTATTATTATTATGGAAGAATGAAATAGTAAAATAAAACTTCATCTGTTCCAATATGTTAAAAATTCTTTAAAAGTAGGTATATATATATATATATATATATATATATATAACTAATATTAATGTTTTTGCATAATTTTAATTATTTTTATATTTTTTATTTTATCTAGTCTTTATTTTGCTTAAATGACGTAAAAAAAACTTGAAAATAAAGAAGCGAAGCAACAATTTTAATACACATCAGCAATCCGATTATTATTAAGCAATATGATGAATAAAAATGATTAGAAGTATATTTTGCTTTAGAATATTAGGATATAAAGTAACTGAAAAAGACAATACAGACTAAAGAAAAAACTGCACGTTAAATAACAATCATAACAACTAAAATCTAGTTAAATCTGCAAAGCATTTTACTAAAACGTAGTATAAGATTAAAGATGACGTATTTCTTTTGAACGAAACAAAAAAAATGGAATTGTTTGGTATGCATGCTCATGAAACTACCAGTTCCCTAGAGACTTGACATAAATTACACTCGTGGAAACGTCCATGGACATTTCGACGCTATGAAAACTGTGGTTTTATGTAATAGCTATGATGATGATATCAATAAGGCACAAATTATTTAGTGGTGAAAACACTGGTTTGTACAATTTTTGGTTTGTCGGTTTATCACAAAAACTGCGAATTTAAGCAGTAATTAAGTATGAAATAATATAAAATATATAGATATGCTGCTATGCTATAAAAGTATTTTCTCAATATTTTTTGTTGTTAGCAGTATTATAATAATTAGATGGAGATGTACAGTATTTTTTCTAGATATTGTGCACATATTACGTATAATGTACGGGACCAAACGATCAAATGACACAAATGGTCTGAATTGTTTTCGATCAAATCATTGTTTCACAATTTTCACGTGGGCACTATTATATTGATCTATTAGAAATAATCAAAAACAAAACTAACAAACTGATATTTGATATAAATTAAGTAATAAGAAATATGTATTAATAAACTTACAGTTAAACTTCTATAGAGATGTGAATGGTTTACAGCAGGGACATTTATTTTAGCCGATTCACTATTTTTTTTTTTTTTTTTTATTATATTTTTTATTTTTGTACTGAAGTATTCACTTCTCTAGCTCTCTATGACCTAGCACAGAACTGACTGATGGTACGAAATATATGAGTACGAGATAATATTCATCGATGAAGCCTGTATATCTTTATTTGTTAAGTGTAAATAATAAAATATGGTTAAGTGAATCAAAGAATCTTATTTTAACACAGTTAACAGTGTAAAACAATATTAGTGTTTGATTTAAAATCCTAGGTTAAATATCCAGTAAATAATTAATCATCATAATGTTTCCATTTTCTAGTTTACGTTGTCGTTGCGCACAACATTGAATTTAAATTCCAAATATTTGTTGTATATCTATTGTGTACATCGCTTAAACAATGTACATATTGTACATAATAAACTTATATCTAGTATTAAATATATAATAAATATAATGGCAAAAAATACATTTAAAATATTTATAAATTGACAATTCAATAAGTCATATATATATATATATATTAATTGAAATTTAATTTCTTAAAGCAAATTATTGTATATTTATTATCAATCAGTTTTAATACTTATATTATGTATCACTTGATAATTGTATCATTTAAAAATGACAAATACTGTTTCAATAATTTTATCCTAGAAAAAATATTATAATACCCTATATCCTACATGTTATATACGTATTACGTATATATTGCAAACAAATTAACTATAAAATCTTACTTTAATATATAGTGGGCACTGAAACAACTAATTTTAAAAATCAATTTTTTCGCTAGTAGCCAAGATAAGAATTCTCATTAAATATTATTAATTTAAATACAACATGCCATTCAGTAGCTTTTGTGATTGGCGTGTTTATGGGATAAAATTGTTTTGCAAAAAAACAACAGTTACCTACGTAGCCGCACAGCGTTCATTTTAATCTTAAACGCTATGATTCGTTATCATCGGTTACGACTATTAAAATATTTAAAAAGTAAAGTCTATGTACAGAAACTTTTGAATATTAATAAAGTAAAATAAACAAAATTAAAGAAGAAATCACCAGTACACTTTTGAAATTGATACACCATAAAGTGAAAAATATACTAATCAGGATAGAAGAGTGCTTGTAAATTATGTACTTTATTGTGATAAATAATAATTAATTTTTATTCGTTTTTATTTTTTAATTTATCTTAAAAATAGGCCGTTTTAGTGCCCCACTCTGTAATATTATGGATATACTTCAAAAGTATTTCAAGTTATGCAATTTTTGTAATTTAAAATGTACTAAGACTTATAAATACATATTAGTTCAGAAGATAATTAAAAGCTTAAAGTTTAATATATTGTAATACATTTTGAACAGGATAAAAAAGAGTTATGTATTTCTTATTGAATTACTCATTGTAATAATACTGAAAAATTCAGAGTAATATACTATTATTTA